CTAAGAAGAAACTCTCCCCAAAGCAAGCACGATGGTAAGACTTCCTAGCTAAGTTTGATATGGCAATAGAGTACAAGCCCGGAAAAGCAAATGTCGTGGCCGATGCATTGAGCCGGAAGGTGGAGCAAGTGAACGCCATACAGTTGGAGGGCAGAGGCCAAGCAAGTCAGTTGCACTCCAACATCCTTTCCAGGATCAGGGATGGACTGTATAGTGATCCCCAGGCAGCAATCCTAATGCAGCTCATCAAATAAGGCAAGGCACGACGATTTTGGGTCCAAGAGGGACTCGTTTACACAAAAGGGAATAGGGTTTATGTTCCTCGAGTGGACAATTTGAGACGTGAACTCTTAAGTGAGTGTCACGATTCCCTTTGGGCTGGACATCTAGGCATTCACAGAACCTTGACTCTCATTGAGAGGGCCTTCTACTGGCCGAAGATGGGGACTGATGTGGAGGAATATGTTCGAACGTGCCTCACTTGCCAACAAGACAAGATGGAGCATTGGAAGCCGGTGGGGCTTTTGGAGCCGTTGCCCGTACCAGGAAGACCGTGGGAGAGCATTTCCTTGGACTTCATATCAAGCTTGCCGATAGTAGGGGAACTAGGATCGATACTCATAGTGGTCGATCGATTTTCAAAGTTTGCAACTTTCATTGATGCGCCCCTACACTGTTCAGCAGAGGAGGCGGCCAAGCTGATAATGAAGAATGTGGTGAAGTATTAGGGAGTCCTGCACAATATTATCAGTGATCGAGACGCTCGGTTCCTGGGACGATTCTAGACCGAGCTATTCAAATTGTTGGGGTCTAAGTTATACTTCTCCATAAGCCTCCACCCCCAAACAGATGGCCAAACCGAAAGGATAAACTCGCTCCTGGAGCAATACCTTCGGCACTACGTGAGTGCCAACCAAGAGATTGGGTGAAGCTACTGGACATAGCCTAATTCTCCTACAACTTGCAGCGGAGCTCTACGTCCAACAAGAGACCCTTCGAGATCATTACAAGATAACAACCGTCGACTCCTCACACCTTGGCTATCAGAGACACTAGGAGTAGTCCGTCAGCATATCACTTTGCCAAAGAATGGCACCGAAATGCAGATATTGCGCGGGCTTACTTGAAGAAGGGGACCAAAAAGATGAAAAAGTAGACTGACTTGGGAAGGCGACCGCAAGAGTTCAAAGTACACAAAGGATTGGTGCGGAAGTATGAAGGGCCCTTCCCAATTATCAATAGGGTGGGCAACGTCTCCTACAGGTTGCAGCTGCCGACGTGGCTCAAAATTCACAATGTTTTCACGCCAGCAACTTGAAAGCCTACCACTCAGATCCGCAAGATGCTTCCCGAAGTGTTCCAATTCGGCTACCCCCCACCAGAGCCTCCTACTTAAAGCGAGTTAAAACCATTCTGGCGGATCGCAAGATAAAGCTACCCAATGGAGCTAAGCAGACCGAGTACTTGGTGAAGTGGCGAAAGCTTCCCCGAACTGAAGCCAGTTGAGATCCCGAAGATGCCCTACGACATGAAGAAGCAATCATCAACAACTACCAACAAGCGTCGACGAGGGCGTCGACAGTTTAAGTGGGGGAGAATGTCACGAACGGTCGTCGCGAACTCACAACTTCGTTCAACGAACTGTTCATCGCTTTTGCATGCTTGAACAGGGACATGGCAGCCTGTTTTACCTTGGTTTTATGTGTTTTTGCTTGTAAAAATACATGTTCGAACAGGTTGCAGTGCATAATGCGACCGCTCACCGCACCGGACCAAAAAGCCCCAAAATGGCTCCGTTTTCGAGTGTCGCGGGCTGTTTTTTGCAGCCCGCTGCAACGTGCGAAATGTCAGCCATCTCAACACCCTGGAACCCTCCGGGTGGCACGAGGCTGGATGGGGCTTCAGTATATTGTCGAGCGTTGAACAATCTTCACAAGTTCGCACGTTTTCTTAAAGGGAACTTGCCTTCGCGCCAGGCACCCGGTGAGCAGATGTTTGTGGACTTGCAGTTGTTCGTTTAACCTTCTAAAGTCCTTGTTTTCCTCCTTTCTCTGTTTTCTCTCATGCACGCAAGGTGCTCGCTGAATTGCTTGTAAAGCTTCCCTCTTCGCAAGACGTCGGGACTTGTCCGTCGCTCGTTCTTCGAACTAATCTACTTTCTCTTTTACAGGTCCATCGAGACCTGAGTGAGGTTGCAAATTGGCTGACCTTTGCGGACGCATATCGCAAGGGTGCGTCAAGACTTAGGCAATCCCAGTTAAGTTCGAGAAGTTAGCATAAGGGTGCTTCGCGACTTAGGCAACTCAAGCTAAGTTCGCGTCTTGGCCGCAAGGGTGCCTCACGACTTAGGCAATTCCAACTAAGTCCGTGACAACGTGGCGTCCAGACTATAAGAAGGAGACAAAAGTTGCCCCTGACTGGTCTACTAGTGTGGACACGGGCCCAAGGCAGATAGTTATGGGCTATCTCCGCCCTTGTTGCCTATATGGAAAAGAGACCAAATTGAGATTGTTAAAAGCGATTAAAAGCTATCCCCCTGAAGGATATTCCATAGAATATGTCATTCCTTCACTACCAAGTATAAAAGCTCACTTTTAACATAGTCAATGGGTCACTTTTTACTACTGGTGACTACACATCTTTTTTTGGTAAGTTTTTTTTTTTTGGTAAGTACTACACTCATCTACTTCGGGTTACTAATTTGAACGTCGGAGAGATCGAATCGGAAAACCACTCCCAACCTCGATCTTCGTGCAGATGACACCTCGGACAACCTCTTTGGGAGCTCAACGTTTCCACCTCAAAGACACCTTGGACAATCCTACACACACGGGAATGAACCACATTGGGCTGACTCGAACATAAATGACATCATCCCATAACAATCACCATAATAAGATAACAATTCCTATGCCCCTGTTATTTCCTAACAGGGACAATTATAAGTCAGCTTGTCTGGATCTCTATTTGCAGCCAAACATTTTGCTTGAAACATTTGAGAAATGCATTAGTGCGTGACCTTAATTGGTTTTGAGTGACACTTCAAGTTTGCAATTTCTGCACAAGCACCTCCTCTCTAGGCAGAACAAATAACACTTCTTATAAAGATGCTTGTAAGCAAACAAATGGAAGCAAGGTCATCTTGATCAAAGGCATGGAAACAAGAGAAGAGAAGCTTCTATTGAAAGACAAGTGAGTGATCAAGTAAGCAATTCCACGATTAAGCCAAAAAGTAGACAGAAGAACTGGTTACAGTAGTTAGAGGGTAGATCGGGAGCAACCAAGACTTAACCAAAGCAGAAGGAAATGAAATGAAAGGCTCACTTGCCTTGGAATGTCGCAGTCGTAAGGTTGCCATCTCCATTTGAGGAAATCTGAATCAGGCCTGCCATTCTTATGACAGTTAAAATCGTCATCGAGGTAAGGACAAGAGCCTGCAGGATAGTAGGGTTGGTTCTTTTCAGCCCTCACCCATCTTCCATGGAATATATCACACTGTTCAGAGGAACCGCCTGTAGCCTTCACCGCAACCGTCGGCCGGGAATCATTCCTTTTCCCTGCAGCAGCAGCAGGAGCAGCTTCCTCGACTGGGTCGATGAGCTTCCCTCCTCCTACTGCTACTCCTCCTTGATTCATTTCTCCATGTTGTTGTTTCATTTGGTGATCTTCGCCCATAGCTCCACTCTTTTTCTCAGAAATCTGACCCTTAAAACAAACATCTTTAATTGTGCTATTTCTTACCAGAATTTGCTTTTCCGCTCCTACGCAGCTACTTGTCATGTCAGGGTGTTGGCTCTCGGAAGCAAACGATTTGGCGATGACGGCTTCTCCAGAGGTTTCGTTGCCACTGCTTTTGGTCGCCGTACTACTTGTCATGTCAGGGGTTTTACTCTCGGAAGCAAAGGATTTGCCAATGACGACTTCTCCAGAGGTTTCCTTGTCACTGCTTTTGGGCGCCACACTACTTGTACCGTTAGAGGGTTTGCTCTCGGAAGCAAAGGATTTCCCGGTGACTTCACCAGATGCTTCCCCACCAGTGCTTCTGTCGGTGGCGCTCGCCAAGGTGTTGTTCTTGGTGAAATTCTCGGCGTGCGCAGGGAAGGCGCTCTTCCAGCCCCGCTGATCTGATTCTTTTCCGGAAAGAGGACCCTGCATTGAAGAAGAATCCGCACCACCATCGCCATTACCGCCATAAGTACTCTCAGAAACCGCTCCGCTCCGATTCACCAACAAAGGATCCACCACAACATCATCCTGCTTCTTCTCCTTTTCTCGTGGTGGTGGCGGTGGCGTAGAATTAGACGAATTGTTGGAAGAAGAGGGAGAGAAGTAAAACCAAGAGAGCAGATTGGTGGAAGAAGGTGAGGCGGTGGAACTGCTGCTGAGAGGGAGGAGGTGAGAGATGGCAAAGAGAGAGGCAGCCACCACGAGGAGGAAAAGAAGGAAGGCAGAGAGCACCGTGAGCCTAGACTTGGAGGAGGAGAAGAAGTGATGCCTCAAAAAGGCGAGGCTTCCTCCTCCAGCAACCCATCGACAAAACTCAACAATGGTGAGTCTGGTGACCATCATACATACCCAAAATACAAATATCCTTGCTAAATTCGTCTTAAAGGAGTAAATTAAGCAAGAAAAGGATAGACTGTGAGATCATGCGCCGGCCGAGAGAGGAAGAGAAGAAAGCACTCGATGACAGATGTGTCGGTGGCTCCTTCGTTCTTCTTCGCAACTCTCTCTCGGTCCGTCTTGGGGGAATGAGAAAGAAGTGACCGGTCGTACGCAGCGTGAGAGAGAGTGTGTGTGTTAAAAGACTTGCTTGCTAGATCCGTCAAACGGGAGTGCAAACGACATGCGTGACCGCCTCACTCGTTATTCACCGTTTAAATCTTGAATGCCCCTTATAAAATGTCTTAAAAACGATTTACGATGGCCACGTTCTGGAAATTCTTCTTATAAGGAATTTTTGAAATAAACAAATATATATATATGACATTTAAAAAAATTTTAAATTATAATGATACATAGAGAGAGATATATATATATATATATTAGATATTATCCTTAGATATTTGGCTAGGGAGCCTTCAACGTGTGGACACGGGAGATAACTTGTGGATAATGTGTCTTATTATAAATGTATACTTTTTTTTTTAATTTTCGAACAAAATTGTCATAAGTAATTGTATCTAGTTAATGACATGTAACATTAAATTATAAGTAATCGTATCGGGTCAGATTGATCTTCTTTGTACCGAGTTATAATCAGATCTTTCGGTTCACATATATAATATATTAAAATAAGATATATTAGGGGGGAAATATTATTATCTTAGTCAGTACAATATTGTTTGAACCTAGATTTATAGGATTATCTGATATATCTCCGAGATAAGAATATCAAGCTTTCGAGGTGCTACCTACACAAAGATCGAGGCCCTTCAATGTTTAAATTAGTAATATATGAGTGTGGACGTTAATAATTCAAAAAAAAAATCTCTTCTTTCTATCTAGTTTTTATACTAGGTTTCTAAAGAGTATGAAAAAAAGTTTATAATTATCTTTATCATAAAAGAAACTTATAATTGTTTTTCTTACTATAAATGATGAGAAGAAAGTTATCTTTTCTTTCCGCTCCCCCCCCCCACCCAATTTAAAGCTCTTTTGAGAAGGGTTCGAAGTGTAATGTTTAGTTCATTCAACACATGTGCATTCAAAATTTGCCTTTACGAGTTAAGTTGTCTCCTTTGTTATGGTAGATTTATCTTTATGCAAGTTGATTTTTTTTTTACTCATGTGCCTTCGGTATATTTTGCATTATGCTACCATTGTAGTAGACATCTTTTCATGTGGATTGAGTTTTCTTGACTAACGTATCTCCAACACATTTGATATATGCATTTATCATTACATCTCTTTTTACGTGGGTCGGGTTTTTCCGACTCACACATCTCGGGTATATTTGACCTTTTACCTCTACTATGGTGGATTTTTTTTTTGTGAGCCAGGTTTTCCTAACTCATGCGTCTTAGGTACATTTGGTCTTAAGCCTCCACATGACAAATTTCTTTTCATGCGAGTTAGATTTTGTGAGTCATATGTCTTAGGCACATTTGGCATTTCGCCTTTGTCATGGTAGATTTTTTTTATGTGAGTTGGATTTTTTCGACTGACATATCTCGGATGCATCTAGCTCTATGCCTCTACTATGATAGATTTCATTTTACTTCTCAACTCCTTCATTTGGTGTGTTTCAAATCCTTCATTTGATATGTTTTGAGTTTGTTATCTAGCGCTTTTCAAATCCTTTATCTGACATTTTTAAGTCCTTAATTTATTGACGTCTCTTGGGAAGGGTCTTGAAGGGACACTTGTCTCAATCATTAAAGAGAGAGATTAGCTTCCTCCCTATAAATCCATGTCCATCTTAAGAGGAGGTTCATTCCTCCATTTGAGCCTCCTTAGAAACCTTATATGCTTTATACTAGTTTCCTGGAGGGAAAGTTAGTTCTTATGTCTCTTATAATCTCAACGTTAGTTCAACAACAAATTAGTCTTCTATTATTTGGGTTCTTCATCTCCTTAGGTCAGGATGTCTCTCTTTTCTTGTATAAGTTCTCTCAATCTATCAATTATCAGACGATCGAGGTTCATGCTTCGTCTTTAGACAACCTAAGGGGCGGAGGAAGTCCCGACCTTCCCTTTGTTTGAGGAGGTAGTTCCCGTGAACCTAAAAGGTTTTTAGGATTTAGAATCTATGAAAAGTTATTAGGACTATAGCTAAGAGAGTCATAATTGAGTTTCATTAAAAGGGGCATTCATGTAAAACCTACCTAACCGACCCCTATTAAAGAAGTAAAGAGGTCGGCTAGGGTTAGGGTTAGTTTGGAGGTTGCTTCTTAGAGTAGGAGTCTTATTATGAGTTGGTTAGAAGTAGGAGTCTTGAGTATGAGTCCTATTATGAGTTGGGGTTTAGAAGCCCTATAAATAGTCATGTATTCATCCTCTTTTGATAAACAATAGATAAATCTTCTCAACAGCCTTTGAGCAGAAACCTGGAGGAAGGAACCCCTATAGAGTTCCAAGGAGGCTGATCTACTAAAGAGATTAGCCCCAAGCTTAGAATCCACAAGGGTTCCATCAGCCCTCCATAGTCGCCCAAAGCAATTCCCATAATTGCTTAAAAGATCGTCATTGAATTCCGTCATGGTCTCCACCACCGCGGATCTTCCTTTAATCTCCTCGTGAATTACAACAGGTTCTGGTTTCCTACCTTACTGTTGCCGCAATTTAGTTATCCTTATTCAAAAATCTAGCCATCCATCAGCCCTCCATAGCTGCCCAAAGCAATTCCCACAATTGCTTAAAAGATCGTCGTCGAATTCCGTCGTGATCTCCACCACTATGGATCATCCTTTGATCTCCTCATGAATTGCAATAGGTTCTGGGTTCCTACCTTACTGTTGCTGTAATTTAGTTATCCTTATTAAAAAATCCAACCATCCATCAGCCCTCCACAGTCGCCCAAAGCAATTCCCACAATTGCTTAAAAGATCGTCATCAAATTTCGCCATCATCTCGACCACCGCGGATCACCCTTTGATCTCCCTGTGAATTGCAATAGGTTATAGTTTCCTACCTTACTATTGCTGCAATTTAGTTACCTTTATTCAAAAATCTAAAAAAAATCTTTCCTATATTGCTGCATAAACTTTTCGTCACAAAATTTTTATCTCTACGACTAAAGATGCGCTGTAGAATTTCAGCAACATAACACAGTTTTTTTTATCTTGCTACTATGTTTTTTCTATCCAAATCTCTACGAAATTTTTATGAAAGCTTTGACACTTCCTAACAATGGATTTTTCTTTAGTTTTGTTTAAAAATTTTTAATATAAATTACTGACCTTTTAGTCCAAACTACTACACTTTAGACGTAAAAATCTACTGCAGTACCTTTCTGTGATCCTTAATTTTTCCGAACCTTCTACCACCCCATGCCATTAACCCATCAATAAAAAAAAAACATAGACATCTCTAATCTACAAGCATATGCTATGGCTTCTCAAGATCCAATTAATGCCAAATTTGAAGCATTGGAATCTCGGATTGAATCGCGGCTTGAATCACGCTTGGAAGACAAATTACGCGCTTTGTTTGCAGAATTCAAAATTGGACAACCGTCGAGTCCAACCAAATTTCAATGAGGAGAGAGTTTATAGAGGCTTCTAGAGAAGAAGGGGCAACCCTTGGACATGTTTCAGCCACGTATAAGGGTGGACTTCCCGCGATGGGAAGAAGGAGACCCAGCGAGGTGGATTTCATACATCGAACGTTACTTTCGCTACTACCTAACATTGGATGATGCTATGGTGGAAATTATTGTCATCCACCTTGAAGGAGATGCTATTCAATGGTATAATTGGCTGGAAAATAATCATGGGGCTCTAACATGAAATCAATTTAAGAATGCACTGTTGAATCGTTTCGGACCTACGAAGTATGAAAATATTGATGGTCAACTCACAAAGATTCGACAAACCTCTACAATTCAAGAGTACCAAACTAGATTTGAGTGTTAGGATCGAGAGCACTAAGG